CTACTCTTGGTGGAGGATTGGCAGAGAGCTGGATGGTTCGCCTGGGGAGTAGCTGTTTTAGCCTACATGTACTGTGAGATGGGTAGGTCGGTTTTGCACATGACGCAGTCCTCTTCCCTAGGAGGTGACCTTGGTGGATGGGTCTCCTTACTGCAACTCTGGGCGTGGGAGCGATTTCCACAGATTTCACCATGACATATAGAGACAAGGGAGCCTATTACCGAGGACGCATACCCACGTGGTGCTCAATGGTTTCCGGCAAACATCTGTCAGCATGGTGACCAGTTCTACCAGTACAAGTTGTTATTTGACGAGCTGTCGGCCATCGTGGTTAGTATATAACATTTCATTATAGAATAGTTTTTATTTGTTTGTTTTACATTCAGGAGTAATTATGTGACCAATTTTTGTGTGTAGTGGTATACTTACTTTGAGAGAGGCGAGTATTTCATAGATACTGTGATCCTATCATATACATTTCGAGCAGTAGTTCCACTGATATGCTTTCAGCAGTGATGTGGCACCATCCAAATCACATGCTCTATTAGTTTGGCAAGCTTCAGGACGAGTCATCAGCCACATACTCAGGCTTAGGTTAGGTTTTTCCTTCGACAGACAGCTCGTGGCCCATTGCGTGGGCAGCGATTGCTACACGCCTCCAAAAAGTCGTTTGATTTGTGGAGCCGTCGATATGAGTTCATAGCCACTATGCCATACAGCGAGTAGACTTTAGCCTACTACTCAGAGCATATGTAGTGGTATCGAGATGTTACCAGACGTGCATGCACACGGAGAGGTGTTGTAGTGAACGCATCAGTTAGTTATTAATTCTTTCATATTTTTGTTTTATTTTTTTGGAAATTCGAAGTTGTGTGAAATCTTTGATATTTTAAATTTAATTTTCAGTACGACATCTTAGAGTTCGCTGAGGATACGAGAGAGAGGGAGTTGTCCACTGACGAGAGGATGGAGTTGGCTGATATGATGGCAGCATGGATTGTTACTTTAGGTTTGGATGATTGTCAGCATCGTGATGTGACGGTACTTGTACAGCGGCATCCTGCTGAGCATAGCCTTGCCAGATGGCTAGAGCGTACTAGTATATTTAATATTTATTATTCTTCTTGATATTCGTTTACTATTTTTACTATTTTATCTCTTCTATTGAAAAAAAAAATTATTAGTCCTTCTAGTAATATTATATTTAGAAGGTTTTCTAAATATTATATTAGATAAAACTTGTTGAAATATAGTGTTCGATGTTTTTAAAAGTGTTGGGTATCAACAAGTAATTAAAATTTTGGGTTGGATGGAAAGGTAGACGGATACACATTTTGGCGACTTTAATGGTACCCGACGCCCTATTCAAATTTAAGTAGTATGTCTACTCCAATTTTCAAACTTAATTGGCACCCCATGTGTTTTACCGCGTTATGTTCGTCTATTAAGTGAAATTATTTCTATACCAAATTTAACAAAATATATAGAGAAAATATTAAAAGGAAATGAATTATGTATATATAACCTATCTCAATACAATCCCCCTACAAATTTCAATTCATATTTAAATAAAATAAAACTTTATAAAAATATGAAAAATTTCCACGCAAAACCCTCTGACCAATACAAAATTCAATCTGCATCCGATTCATTTTAGTCACAGCTAGATAAATTGCAACAAAAAGTTAGGAGGACCAATTGGTAATTCCGCACCCTTTACCTTTTTTGTTCTTTTATTGGCACGAATGTAGTGGAGAGTGAAGACAATTTTTCTAATCCTCTATTTTTCTTAATAAAATCATATATCATTCATTTAAACTCAAAATTTAAAAAAATTAACAAAAATGACACATTAATTAACATATACACAATAGTATCCTTTTTGCTATATTTTGATCAAAAAATAGCTCTTCATAACATGTGTTGATTGTATTATTATCACTGTCATATCATGATATTTCACTCCTATGACATTGATATGATGTCACCAAATTATTTTTTCAAACAAAAGACTTTATACCAATATCATACAACTATCATAGTGATAATATCATGATACAAAAGTGATATAATGTCATCAAATTATTTTGTAAAATATAAGATCACATACTAACATCATATCACTATCATACCAATATCATATCATATCAACGTCATATCCTTGTTAGTAGTAATATCGTGATATGATGACCAACAAATTTTTTGTTCAAAAATAGCAAAAGGGATATCATCTTGTAGAGCACAAACAATATGATTTTTCTACGCAATTTTTTTAAATCCGATGTAAAATGAATGAGATATCATCTGTTGAAAATTCATATGAGATTTGAAAAGTGCATTAAATGTCACCTTAAGCTCTGTGAAATCCGGTCAGCTCTCTCCCCAAATCCCTACTTTCCCTCATTACCCCTCTACAAAAATTGTCATTAGATCACTTCTCTCTCAATCTCCTCAACCATCCATTATGATTTTGTAAGACGACAAAACTATATGGTTTTATACCCAAACTCAATCCATATCTAAATATAACATTTTACGTCAATATCATAACGTTTATACTTGAATCAAAAAAATAAAATCAACATCCATATCTACATAAAAGGTAAAGACTTGTATACTCTAGGAGTATAGTATACTCGAAGTGATCTAACCATTAGATGTACTTCGTTGAGCTCCAACCAGTCTCAATGGTCAATTATTGTTCTATTAAATTGAATTTCAGGTTTGGGTTTAGAGAATTGAGACATGGGGTTTATATATTAGAGGTTAAGGTGTAATATCATACTTTAAACTTGGTTTAATTCATGGTCTAGATGTACATCTCATTAGAAGTACTTGGAGTATAGTATACTCCAGGAGTACACCCATCTATACATTGGAGATCCCAATACTTGTTCATCCAATACATATTTTACGAATAATATTACTTTGGGGTTATGCGACGTTCCTCGCCTAGTGAGGATTTCAGATCGTCAACGAGCACAACCTGTACGACTTACTCCTACCTTCCAGACACATTTTGAGCTAGGGTTTTCAGAGTATTAGACAAGCACTTCTTCGTAGTTTCAGGCAGAATTTTCACAGTTTCAGCCAGGCACTTCTTCGGCCTTCCAACCATCTCGGCCTTTCAGCCTTCTTCGACGTTTCAGCCAAGCACTTCTTCAGCATGTCAGCCAGACGATATCTTCCATACACCTTAGCATGCTACGATGAGAGGTGGATACATGGCCTTCGGTAGTGATACTATAGCAGGCTCCTTTCAACTGACGGAAGAGAACCTTAAGCCAATGAAGTCTATGTTACCAACTTTGCATTCAGATTCAACCCTGTTTGCATAGGCTCGTGCACAGATTTACGTTCAATAATCCCAGGGGCTTTCACTTCGACACGTCACCGTAAGGCACGTGGGATTCGCTAGATGGAGATCCTAATTTTATGGAATCGATGTGGTGTCATGATCAGTAGCTTCAGGGGCAGGGGTTGTTCACTAGTGCACCAGATGAGCATCACCAGTAGTTATAAAAATGCTAATTATGCGTAGAAGCGTTTTGATGATATAGAAGCGTAAAATCATAATTTTTTAAGATTTAAAGCGCGATTTTGACTACATTGTTATCATGTATGATGCTATTATCTAAAATGAAAACTTGAACTATAAAAACAACAACTAGGACATTTGATAAAAGTTCCAACAACTACTTCAAACAACAACTACTACATGGGAATTCGAAATCATGTGCTCATTAGGATGGAGAGTAGGGCCATTGTGCTTCTTCCAACCCTTAGGTTCACCAAGAGGTGTGAAACTTGTCACATAACAAGCCAATACTCTTTCAAGCTTGTAGATGTCGTTTACAAACCTATATGGATTAGCCCCCCCATTCGGTTGCAAGCTGCAATAGCATGAGAGCAAGGAATTTTATTTCCTTGAAATTTCCCACAAGTGCAAAATCCCGCCCGATTGTTGTCGCCGAGTTCACTATGAGTGCGTTTGAACCCGTCATGTTGAAATTGTTGGGAGGAGTCTGAACTACATAGATGCCTTGACGTCGATCAACCCCCATCACAGAATGTCCAAATGCCTTTTGTGCCCACAGCTTCATCAGTTCTTCGCATGTCTTCGTGTACTGCGAATGGCCATATGATTTGTGCTTCTGTCTCCAACCACATCTTATCGAATTTCTCCAATAATTGCCAATAAGTATGTTGCACAAGAGAAGTTATAGGAAGTGAACGAATACATTTGAAAACACTATTGATGCTCTCTGCCATGTTGGATGTCATGATAGACCATCGCTGCCAACCATTATGGTTATCATATGCTAAACTCCAACGGAGTTTATTTTGGTCCACCCAGATATCGCATGAAATATTTCTATCATCGGCCATTTTCTCAAATTGCTCAACTTGACGAACGAACTTCTCCAAGCTTTTTTCTCCAACTAACAAAATAAATAACCACACAGTTAGATATATTCATGAAAAATTAAATAAAAATAAATAATACATAACAATAAATAGGGCTAATACCACTACAACACCCGAACTATTAGAAAAATGTCACTTGTATCCTATTCTTTCCAATATTCCATTTCTATCCTGAACTATTTTTCTGCTAGTGTTGACCAACGTTGACTGTTAATATTTAACAGAAAATCCAGTCAGCGTTGACGTGGCATCTAACGTGGAATTTTAAATTTAATTTTTATTTATTAAACAAAAAAAAGAAAACCACTCGGCCTTCTTTCCCCTTTCCTCTCCCATCTCACAATCGACAGATTCAATCCCTTGATTCAATCTCCTTCCTTCTCCGAGCTCCAGATCGACGGCTCCGTTGGAAGTCACCGTTCTCATCCACTCACTACTCCCTAATCCGATCGGAGGCCGGAGAGCTCCAGATCTTCTCCATCCGTCGCTGTTGAAGAGATGGTGGATTCAGATCCGGCGAAGAACGAGAAGCCCGTTGGCGGCGGCGGCGAGACCTGATCGATACGTCGTCGATGGGAAGGGTGGTGACTCAAGGATGCCAGGTCGTTGTGGCGGCCATCAGGTCTCACAGGAACGATGCGCACACGGTGCGATACTGGGGGCCGGAGAAAATCGATTCTATGCACAAATCGATGAATTATGTTTCTTCTTTCGGGATTTTTTAGGGCTTTCGATTTGTAATGGGGAGACATTGTTTCTGTCTTGTACTGGTAGGTGACGTTGGAGGTGGAAGGGGAGACGCAGATGTTGAATCTGGCGGAGAAGCTGAAGGGTGGAGGGATTGTTCATAAATTGTGGATTGAACAACCAGTTCCCCCATCTATATTTCTACCAAGCCTTACCCTAAATCTGAAGTTGCTTCGTTTTCAAGAAGCTAAAGCTCTACAAGTGAAGTGAGGATGATCTGGATTGAACAACCAGTTCTCCCATCGATTCAAGGAGGATGTTCGGAGATGCAGATGTGGATATGAGATTCTGCAGCGCCAGTTCATCGAAAAACATCACTGATCTCGCCTTGCCGCAACAAGCGATTCTCACTCCCATCAAGTGACCAAACTTGCGTGCATCTGTGGGAGATTCAGAGATTGACGTGGCGGTGAGATGAAGAAGCATATTGAAATTTTCTGGATTTTTTTTCGATCTGACAAGAAGCTTGAGAAACAGCTCGAAATATAGTTTAGTAATATTGTTGAATTTAGAAGTTAATCATTTTTTATTTTCATAATTTAATTTTATTATAATTTTGAGTAAAAATGATGTGGCAATGACATGGCGCCTATGTGGATGCCACATACTTTGTCACGTCAGCATAAGTCAACAATAGTTTGACCTCCGTTTGGTCAACTGTTATCTTTAACGGTCAACGAAATCGAGAGGACACAAATGACAAAAAAGAACATACGAAAGGACATAAATGGAATATTGAAAAGAATAGGACACAAGTGGCATTTTGGTCATAGTTCGGGTGTTGTAGTGGTATTAGCCCCAATAAATAACCATAACAATGAAGGCTTACCGATTCGACATAGTTAATTATACATAATATTGCTTTTAGTCTTCCTTTGCAAGTTGCTTGCATAGTGTCGCATGCACCACCTCCACTTCCAACCTCTTCCGATATCACTCATGACTTCATAGAGTCCTGCATGTCTATCAAAGATGATGCAGACATCATTTCGATCGGTCAAACCTTGAAGGTGTCGTATGAACCATGGCCAACTTTCAGTATTCTCGCTCTCCACTTTGGCAAATGCAATTGGAAAAATCTTCTTCTGACCATCAAATGAGCTTTCCATGAGTAGCACTCATTTATACTTTCCAGTAAGAAATGTTCCATCAACAACCATGACTGTGGGACAATTCTTGAATCCATCTATACAAGGTCCATAAGACCAAAATACTCGCTGAATGATCAAATGACCTGGTTGCGATGAATGAATTCTTACCAAATCAATCACTAATGTTGTCATTTTTCTCTTTACCACCCGCAAGAACGTTTGCAAATAATCGTAGGATTCTTCCCAATTTCCATGCAACTTCTATAATGCTCTTTGTTTTCCATACCAAGCCTTATTTTAAGTAACTTGCATATTAAACTTATCTTTCAACTCGGCCTGCACAGTTAGAACACTCAGATTTGGTTGCGCACGTACCAAATGCTTCACAGACTCAGATATAATGTCGACATCAAGATTATGATGATCCGTCGGTTGATTCGTATTGGTACAAGAATGCACCAACTCGACCTTTCTCACAGTCCATTCGCTTCCAACATCTCGACATCCAAACCGCACCATCTAAGCACAATTGTCATCCTTGTGCTTCAAGCATTCACTACAACAAATTTGGCATATTATGACGAGACAATTTTGTCATATTAGATATTCATTTTGTCATATTAGTTGTAATATGACAAAAGGTGTTGTCACAAAGGTTTGTCATTTTATCGCCGTCAGGATAGGTCAAATGTGACAAAAAATTAAAATAAGGTTGTCACATTTGCTTTCAGTATATATGAGGTTTTGGGTAGTCTATTGTGACAAACAAAGATGTTATGACGACATATTTTGTCAGTACGGTTGTCATAATCTGGTATTTTTTGGAGTAATTTATATTTTTTTCCGTTCAATTTATTTTTTCAGATTCATTTTAGTATATTTCACAATTTAATTTTCGAGAAGACTTTTTTAGCTATTCGCAATTTATTCTTTGGTCCATATCTAAACGTCACCTCTTCAAAACCAAGATTTTGCATTTGGCCAAGATTTACTAAACTACCAATCCCCCATTTTATATCCACATCCAAACTCCAGATTGGCCATTTAAAAACCCTAATCATAATCATCAATTTGAAGAATAGTACCCTCAATCCAAAACCTGCAAAACAAAAAGTCAGAATCAGTAAACAGAATTCTGACAGTTCGTCTCCCTACAAAATCAAAACCCAATATCAAAACAGGGGGGGGGGGAAATAAGAATCAAATAAGATTAACCCAGAAATTAAAAAAACCCTTACCAGACCAAAGAGAAACGCAGATAAAACTATATGGCGAGTAGTGAGTTTCGTCCATAGCTGTCAACAACATCTGTCGCCGCCCCATCTTGAGATTCGCCCGTCACTCCAAGGAGTTTGTCGTAGCCACGCCACTGGTGTTCTTGAGCAGATGTCCTCGTGTCGTTGCTATTTTAGAGGAGATAGAGAATCGTGAGCAGATCGAGAGGAGAGAGGTGGAATCGGAATGAAATACAAAAGAAGAGAAGCAGATCGACAGTTATAGTCGATACGGAGAGGAAGGCCAGATCTGGGTTTTGATTTTTTGGTTTTCCCTAGATGAGTTATGTCTGCCTTGGGGCTTGGGGAGAAATTAGAGTAGTGAGGGAGGTGAGAAGATGAAGAAGCAAAGGGTAATGGATAGATGGATGAACGAGAAAGATGAATTGGAGTTAGAAATTGAGAATTAGAATTGGGATTTTGTTATGAGAAGAGAGGAGCGGCGGAGAATGAGAATTGGGAGAATTGTGTGGGGAAGTAGGGTTTTTGTGGGCTGTGAGTGCTGAGTGAGAGGTGAAGGAATTTTTACTTTTTAATTTTTTACCCAATTTTGGTTCAAACGACATCATTTTTAGGGAGGGAATTAAACCACTTGCCTACTCTTGAGTTTAATTAATTAATTTATTATGCCAATTTAGTAATGAATACTCTTAATACGAAATTTAAAAAAAATCCTTAGGTTAGATTAATTCGGTTCAATTGAAGGGGAAACGTGGGCGGGCTTGGGGAATTTTTTTTGGACGGGACTGAAATTTGGGCGGGAAAATAATGCGTCGGTCGGGCTGATTGGCTTCATTCTAACACGATGTTTCAGTCTAACACAAGCAAATCTAACGAAAATGTCTTTTGTCAAAAATGAAACCACTATGTTATGACGAACATGCCTTTTGTCAAAGCCAAAACCACTATATTATGCCGAACATGCCCTTTTGCCAGCTCGCCGTGGAATTATTGCTATCTATTGTGACAAAATACTTTGTCATTTAAACAATTCGAGAAGGCATAATATGACAAAATCTATTCTGACAATATAATTTGTCACTTTTGTGTATCTTACATCCCCATATGGGATGCCTATTTTGACAAACTTAATTGTGACATGAAATATTTGTCACATTACTAACTTTAAATGACGAACTATTCTGACAACAAGAAATCTGTCACTGTTGAGTCTCTTACATCCCGATATGGGACGCCTATTTTGACAAAATTAATTGCGACACAAAATATTTGTCACATTACTCACTTTAAATGACGACTTATTCTGACAAAATTTTATTTGTCACATTAGGCATACCAAATAGGACATATATTATTTTTGTCATATCACCGTACCTATTGTGACAAACAAAAAATGACAAAATAAAATTTTTGTCCTAATAGGCCGAATTTGTTGTAGTGATTTGACCTTCTATATTGAAGATGTCGAGTCCATCTCGACATACTGAAAGTTTCAATGTAGTGCGTGGTATTTAATCGCCATCTGTGCAGCTTGTTTGGAGTGAAATATCTGCCCCTTGTAGAATTCTCCTTCGAAAATAACAACAATAGGCATTGGAATTACACCATATGAATCAACATATGATAATTCATCGTCCTCTTCATTACCTTGCAAGTAAAAATCTGGAGGATAATTAGACTCTTCTTCCCCTTCTTCTTCCTCCTCTCCTCCTCATCTTTCTCCTCCCCATCATCATAATCATGATCGGACGACACACTCCATGTCTCATCTTCACCCTGATCCTGATTAATCTCAGCATGTATCTCAGCACCCAAACAATAAGGGTTTTGTGCCATAAAATTGAAAGGACATTCAAGTTATCATCATACACAATAGGCATCGCATAATGAAATAGAATACCAGTATGCCATTCTGGAAGTTTGTAAGTGAAACCCGTGATCATATCACTATCCTGTACTGCTTCATCTTTACATCGTATCCTCAGAACTTGATTCTCATAAAATTAGTGATATGTCACCCTGCATGAAATGTCAACTAAAAACTTCTACCACCAACGAAATGGACGCCCAAATTGTCCTCTACTTTCTCCGATTTCCTTTCAGTTACTCACCACAAAAAAACAGATGTTCTGAAGCTAAGCGAAGAAGAGAAAAGCGAATCTGCGTGAGACTGGAGCGGCTTCGCTCGTTCAATTATTTAGGGAATCTTCACTCGGCGACAACAAATAAAAAAGAAAAACAGCGCAACAGCGTCAATCTCAGGCGAGCCTGCCCAATTCTGAGGCGGGTCCGCCCAAGTCTCATGTGGGTCCGCCCAATGCCATTTAAAAAGCTTTAAAAAGCGCATCTGCTTCAGTCTCACGCGAACTAGCCATCTATGTTCTCCAAAACACAATATTTGTGTAAATAGTTTTAAAACCGCTATATTCGTGGTAAATTAAGAAATATATATTTTGGGAATTAAACCCCTAAAACCCCTACTATCCCATATTGTCCAATATCCTAATCCTCTCAATTTGTATATCCAGTTATCTACCCCACCCTTGTTAGGCATATACTTGGGCTAAGACCAAGTCTCTATTATCAAGCTGGTAAGGTAGAGGTAGTGTGGGCCAGATTGTGTTTGGGAGAGTTGGAGTAGCCAATGGCACTAGGCTTAGACTTGGGTTTGTGTGGGGTGATTTGGTTTACTGGTTCAGATTTTGATAGTTCTATTGGGATTGTTTCCAATCCGAAGAGTAATAATAATCATAATTAAAAAGTAGAGAGTAATTGATTCCTAATTATCGAATCTAAATTACTTACCGTATCCATACAATAAAACTTGAAAGACGCGGCTAGGGCTAAGGAAGTCATTGGCGATAGGGATGGCAACAAAACCTGA